TCATTTGTCGGGTCACTAAAGTCGACACCTACAACTGACATACCATATAGTTGCACAATTAACTTCCCGAACTTCGGGGGCCAGTATTTCACAGGTTAGCTACATTGACTCCTTGCGATCTTGCTACGGTACGAAAAGTGCAAAAACGCATAATCGCACAGCACAGGGTTAGCTAATTTGATTCCTTGCGATCTTGCTACGGCACGAAAAGTGCAAAAACGCATAATCGCACCGGCCCGCCTCTACACTGACTCCTTGCGATCTTGCTATGGTACGAAAAGTGCAAAAACGCATAATCGCACCGGCCCGCCTGGCTGTTCCAGCCTGGGTTTTTGTAATGGCAAGGCATACTTGTACCTCGGTTCTTGAATACAACTTCACACATAGGATACTAGCTGTAGCACGGTGGCATACCGTTTACCGTCGCTGTCCCTTCCTTTTAGTCAATATTGATTTTGACAAAGCCTTACGCATGATATACAAAGAGTTTGTCATAACGCCTGAGCAACTACATAGTAGTGTGCAAAAAATACTGTGCCTCGTTTCACTTCATTGAGCTTGGTTTCAGTAGATTCTAGGCAACGGTGCATACATTCTAGTACCACTCTCCGTTCAACAATTGGCCCTTAACCACAGATTCTTGAGTCAACTTCATGCTGCCATTGATGACAATATCCATCGCCCTCATTTGTGCAATTCTTAAGACCCCTATGAATACAGATTTGTAGTAGCAAATAAGTCTTCCTTTCGAGCCTTATCGATTATTCGACACTGCACGTTAACTCATAAAGACTCATTTCCGTAAAGATTGTATGCAAACGACTACGCACAACGGAAGGCCGGTTTGATCCAGCATTACTAATTCACTAATTGTGGTGCAAAAGCTCGCTAAGTAGTACGATCGGATACTTACATGCAGTAGACTTCAACAACTTTTCCACTAGTCTACTGCATTCACATTATCGATAATCTATTCCATCTCACTGAAATCTGCTTCACCAATGCGGAAAAGAACACACTGGTCTAAGTAAACCCGTACTCGATATGCTAACCAATTCACGGGCGATTTCGTCTCTTATACTAAGGAAGAAGCTAAAACGATGCTTCGCATCGTTCTCTAAGAAACCTATGTACGATTTCGTGGTCATATTTTCAAGCAAATACAAGACGTACCGATGGGTGATGATACTAGCCATGACATTGCCGATCTCACGCTGTCAGTTATGGAGTATAGGTTCTTCTGTAAGTACCTCGGAACTCATCTTAATCTCGGTACATCGATAACATTTTTATTGTTAGTTGTGCCACCTTTGCTGAAATAACCTACAACATCTTTGGACCCACTCTGCAACAACTCAACACCACTTCGGACAAAGAGCTTGTTTTTAGGCCTTGAAATTCCATGCCAAGAAGGCAGGTGTACTTCCAGCGTATACAGCAAGACTTTGGATTACCCGTTCGCAGTAAATCAGGAGGATATCCATACAGTGATATGGGTCGTACAAGATGTTATTATATCGCAGCTACTCCGATCTGTACGTATACGCACTCTTCCAGATGGGTTCTACGACTGTGTTAGATGGCTTATAACCATTTACAGACAAAGAAGGTTTGATATTGCCAAAATAGGACGTTCCGTTCTCAAATTCTGCCTCAGGAACTGATCTGTAATCAGCAAATTCTGCTTTCCTGATGATTCAGGAATTAAACGCCTAGAAAGCATATTGTTCTCATAGAAAATGCTAGCTCATAAATAACAGACAATGAGTGTCCGTACCAAGCTTAACTTTTTTCTATCTTCATCTCCGACTTCCTTTTCTCTCCCTCTCTTCCTCTGTTCCTTCTTGTATCCGTCTTGCAAATTAATCACATAAATGTTTAGCACATGGCGGGTAGGAGACTGTACTGGTTATCCCGCTCCTACCCGCACGCAAAGTTTGGTCTATATTTACAGATAAGGAATGAAACACAGGCTGCAATGTCTTCTTACACGTGGCACTTAGTTCAATCCCTTTTATTCTGCTGTTTCACGCAAACCAGACTCATCATCGAGATGTTACTTTTGTGTGTGAATGTGTGTCCTGACAATGCAAAATCATGGGCTATGTAATTTAGCTGAGAAATACTGAGTACCGCATACGGGGCTACACATTCAAAAGTAGCCTCCATACTTCTGTGTCTTGTCCTTTGACATCAGGCTGATATTTTCTAGAGCAACGGAAACCACAGGTGGGAAATTTATGGGATGTCATCCTCAGTGTACTGTGCAGTGGAAGAAAAAAAAATCAATTTTTCAACTTCACTGTATTTAGTTCCGCGACAAAATAAAATTCACTTAGGCTATGAAAAGCTACACACTGGAAATTTTTTTTGAAATTCTCTGCAAGACGGGATCAGAATGAGCTCTGGAATTATAGGGGTTTTTTAATGCGTTTTTGCATATATGCAAATTGCAGAAACGCATATTAGCAAGAGGCTGCCTATGTGTGTGTGTGTGTGTGTGTATGTTTGGTTGTGTCTGTCTGTCTGTGTTCGCACTTTTCGTCACCCACC